CTCCCCACACCCCAAACTAGTCTCTTTCTCGCTCTCTCTGCCTCTCTCTCACACACTCCTACCAAATTTCTGCTGCATTAGAAGACGTTATTCAGATCTTTTAGTTGGAAGTTTAAATTTTTTAACTGTGTCTAAAATGAGGGGAAAAAGACAGCTTCAAAAGTTCCGTATTAAAATCTGGTTATAGCAGGTGCAGTGTTTAAAAGTTCTAGAGCCCTTTCCCCGCTCTTCTGTACAACGTGATGACAGGAAGGGCATTTACAAAACAGCCCAAAGGAAAAGCTGACATGGCTTTTTAGATTATATCTCATTCTTTTTTCTCTTTTCTGTGCAGCCTTTCTTTTGTAGCACAGTTGAATCCCTAAATACCCCACTACTTTGCATTGTTAGGTCACCTCTTAGGTTAGCCCGAGAAAGCCTGAGAAAAGTTCCACAGGAAAGATGCACTATTTAACGGAATTCAATCTCTCCCAATAGATTTGAATCACTAACATAAATGTATGAATGTAGATTATATCTCTGTAATGAGGCCCGAATCATTCTCAGTTACTTCAAAGGGCTGAAATTCAACCTTCCTTTTTTAGCAGCAATAATCAGGTCTTAATGGGTTCCTTTATTAATTGTTTCTCCGCTAGGATTGAAAAGGATAGTACAAGCTTCAGATTAGAGTGGTACCTACTAATTCTAAAAGACTGTTTTTCTTTTTTCTCCAACCTCTGGAAGACATGCTTTATTTCTAAGTCCTAAACATATCCAGTGATATTAGGCTACATCTTTATTGAGTGAAATAGACGTGGCCTTTTGTCAAATGTGATATTTTGAGAAATTGTTGGGACCTTTTAAAACAAACCAGGCAGCAGTCATTGAAGAGTCCTAAAATGTGGCTATTGAACCTCAAAGAAGCAATCTGTTTATGGGCTACCAGATCCTCCAGTAGTTATTCTGGGTGAGGAGTTTACATTTTCGGTATGTGTTTCCTGGATTCTCTATGTTACTCAGTACTATCTGTGGTTCAGTTATAAGATGTGTGTTCCATTATGTGTGATGTTATTGGTAGTGTCAGTAAACTGCTTCAAATAATACTAAGTCAGGTCAAAAGTCACCCCGGCTGTTCTAGCATTTAGACATCTGCAGCCAGCATTTTGGTGCAGCCCTCGTATGTGTTGAAGCCGATTTTCCCTTTTGCGTTCAGGAGATGCTAATTTTAAGGTACTGTTAGGGACTCATGGTCTTCTCAGGCTGCAGTTGAAAATGATGCTCACAATCAGTCACATTGGGGGCAAATAAAGTAATGATCTCTTTCTTTTTTAAACAAGGGGCTTCAAGTGAAAAAAAAGAGGTATTAGCCTGCAGGGTAGTAGCAACACTTTAGACCCTGTGGGAATCAGCAGCAATTGAACCCACTCAGTCCTTTTATAGATAAAGGAATTGATGCCCAAGTCACACAGTGGTAGAACAGAGGCTAGAACGCAAGTGATAGATCACAGACTGTTATCCTAAGTTCTTTCCAACACCCGTTCTCTTTTCCCTTTCCTTGCTCCTCTTCTCATTATCATTTCGACTCACCATGCTGATATCTCTAAAATGCTAGAACGAAAATGAGAAGGATTAGAAGGCTTTAGTTTGGGAAAGCCCAAATACCTTTGCTGCAATTGATTAGCCAGAGCAAAGGAATAAAATAGTTTAATATTGAATTATTAAGTACCAGTTGATAAGTCAAAATAAATATTGATGTATGTTTGGCAAAGGGGGCTGTTTTATCAAAGCTTGCACAATGAACACATTTAAAAAGCAATGCATACCACACATTTTAAAGATATCCAAGGATTTTTTAAGTATATAAAAAAAAAACAAAACCAAACCCATTGCCGTCGAATCGATTCTGACTCACAGCAACCCTACAGGACAGAGTAGAACTGCCCCATGGGGTTTCCAAGGAGTGGCTGGTGGATTTGAACTGTTGACCTTTTGATTAGCAGCCAAACTCTTACCCAGTGTGCCACCAGGGCTCCTTTTTAGGTATACATAATCTGAATTCACAAATTTTTCTCCAGGAAATTTATAGCACCTTCTAAAAAAGTAGATTTATAATTCAACTGAGCTTCCTGTGTTCTAATATTAATACTTAGGTATTTGCTTAAAGATAAATTGTTTTTTTCCAAGTTTGAAACTAACATAAATTTTCTAATTCCCCTAGACAGCATCCAACAACAACCCTCAAATACA